TAGTGGGTGGACATCCTTCAGTTTCGGCGGGGAGGGTCACAACAAAAGTGTGCTTCGGCCCGAAATCGTCATCCTCGTGTCCTTGCTCTTATCATACCTATATAACGGTACGCAACTGTGGCTCGTTCTATGTCTACAAACTGAAACCCACTTCAGCATGTAATCTTCGTTATTGTACCAACTAAGTATGTATAATGTAGCCTTTAGCTTCACTTGATCCTCAGACTGTAGTGAAGCTGATGTTGGTGTAGGTCACAAGGCAAGTGATAATTTCATGGAATATTGAACACAAGTTGTATCTGACAAACAAATAAACGTTTACACGATGTGTGCAGCGACTGTTATTACAACGCTGATTAAATTGCCAAATTGAGAAAAGAATGATTCTGTAACGTAGTGCCAGATAAAATAAAATGATGTTTACAATTGTGGAACAGCTAGCGCAGTTGCAAAGGACGACGAAATAAGAAATAAAATACTGATGCTTCAACGTGATTCCAATCTTTGTTGTTTGTGATATCGGGTGCAAATGCTTTCTTATCGAGAGACAAAGACATCAAGTCATATAGTTAACAAAGTCAGTGACGGNTGTTCTTTGTGATATCGGGTACAACTGCTCTCTCATCGAGCGACAAAGACATCAAGTCATATAGTTAACAAAGTCAGTGACGGGGAGCAGCTTTGCCAGTCTTCTTCTTTGAAGTGTTTTGAACATTTTTAGCTCTTAAATATGCTTCAGTCCGAAATGCCGTAATCCCCCACTTTCCGTGTTCCATTGCCGCATCACCACCCGGGCGAGGGTAGCTGGGAACTCCGCAAAGTTCTATACGTGGAGGCCTCCCCAAGGTCCAGCCCGTTACCCTTTCGTATACTATTTTGACAGAAAAGGTGTCCTTTTCATATGTTTTCATAACGGGTCCTTATTATGAATAAATCGCCAATAAAGGAAATATTGTCATTTTCATGTACTGCCTAAAAATGAAATAATGCAGCCATGAGGTGCGTCTGTTCGAAATGTATTAATTAAATGCCCTTTAAAATAACGAAATGTTATTGACCCACCCTTTCATAAACTCAACCCTACCCTTTTAAGTATCTGAAGCCTAAAAAAGGCACACCTTTAGGGCGGAGCCTCTCCGTGTATAGGCCATTATAGGGGCTGCCCCTCCCATTCCACCTCCCACGAGCATCAACACTCAAAAGTCTGATTATTTGTCTGCTCTTATGTATATAAATCACCCGTCTTCAACAATGACCATATTTCCTGAGGTTCATCCTCTGTCATCTAACTCTTTTTCCTCTCCAAAACACTGGTGCCCGTTTTTCTTTTCAAGGACACCACTGGCTGACCGGCGAAGCTGAGAGCTGTTTTCTTTCCTTCACATGAGCAC